GGGCAGCTCACTCACTTGTCAGTTTCATTTTTAACGTCTTAATTCTTATTTATATTATTGTATTAATGGTTTGCCTGTGTGTAAGTGCACCCCTGCTGTGCAATGTCCAGGGAGGCCAAAAGAAGGCACTGACCCCTGCCATGTGGGGGCTGGGGACTGAATTGGAGTCCTCTGCAAGAGCAGTCAGTGCTCTTAACACTGAACCTTCTCTCCAGCCCCTTATTTATTTTGAGAGTCTTGCCCTGAAGCCCAGCCTGGTTAGAATCCAGAGGTCCTCCTGCCTTAGCCTCCAAGTGCTGGGTTTGCAAAATGTACTTCTGTGCCTGTGTGAACCCAAGCACATGTTAGGCAGAAACTGAATAGCCTGGTTGGATGACACCCCAGAAGTACCATGAGGCTCAAAGCCAAGGGGGCTGTGTGTGGAGGGGACAAGCCAGCATGGGTTCTGCTCCAGTAATGCCAACCACAGCTTCCCCTCAGGTGCCCAGGCTCCAGGACATTTGCTTCTTCCCCGATCATGGAAAGAACTGGAACTGGATTGTACCCACACCATTCCAATTAACCATACCCTACCTCTCATCCTTCTCCCGGGACACCAGGCGAGATTTTTCAAGCAGGTATTTTTCCACAACAGCTCTGTCATTTTTAAAAAAAGAAAAAGAAATAAAAGACTACACTTTAGTACTGTTTGACATTCCCTTCTTGAGCTTTCTGCTTTGGCTGGGATTGAGCACAGAACCAAGGACCCTGAATGTCAGGCAAGCACTACAATACTGAACTGTATGTCAGCCCCTCACTGGGAATTCTGGGCAGGGGCTCTACTCCTGAACCACGCCCCCAGCCCCTCACTGAGGATTCTGGACAGGGGCTCTACCCCTGAACCACGCCCCCAGACCCTCACTGGGGATTCTGGGCAGGGGCTCTACCCCTGAACCACGCCCCCAGCCCCTCACTGGGAATTCTGGGCAGGGGCTCTACTCCTGAACCACGCCCCCAGCCCCTCACTGAGGATTCTGGGCAGGGGCTCTACTCCTGAACCACGCCCCGAGACCCTCACTGGGGATTCTGGACAGGGGCTCTACCCCTGAACCACGCCCCCAGACCCTCACTGGGGATTCTGGACAGGGGCTCTACTCCTGAACCACGCCCCGAGACCCTCACTGGGGATTCTGGACAGGGGCTCTACCCCTGAACCACGCCCCCAGACCCTCACTGGGGATTCTGGACAGCACTCTATGAGCCACATCCCCAGCCTGCATCTGTGCTCTGCAAATCGACTTCCTTTGATGGCACCATGCAAGTAGTTGCAAACATCCTGAGTGTAGCCTTGTGCCCAGACTACAATCTCAAAGAATCAACACACTAGCTGACCACTGAGTTCCCAGATCAGGGTTGACCATGACACATGGAAACCTGCCAGACATCATTTGAGACCCACTCCAGAGAGGACTCACATGTTCACGAAATAGACAACCAGGGGATGTTTTCCAACAGCAACATTTCTTAGAGGTTCATAACTCAATTTTATTCACTTGCTTGTATACACACTAATCCAAAAGTTCAATGTAAGATCCAAGATGATTTTGATGGCTTTTATTTTTTTATTGACATACATATAACAAACTGCTAGTATTTAAAGTGTAAAACTTGGGGTTGCAAGAGGGCTTAGTGGGGAAAGGCACTTGCCACCAAGGCTGAGAACCTGAGCTGGAATCCTGGGACGACTCACGTGGTTTGGTTTGGTTTTTTTTTTTTTTTTTTTTGGTCTTTTTGAGACAGGGTCTCCCTGTAGCCCGAGCTGTCCTGGAACTCACTATGTAGACCAGGCTGGCCTTGAATTCACAGAGATCTGCCTGCCTCTGCCTCCCGAGTGCTGGGATTAAAGGCGTGCACCACCACACCCAGCTTGACTCAGGTGGTTCGAAGGAGAACCAACTTTAGTAAGCTGTCCTCTGACTTCCACATGAGCATTCTACCCCCAACACAAATAACTGTAATAAAAATTTTAGAAAAATGTACAATTTGTTTTTATGTGTTGCTGGAGATGGAGCCCAGGGTCTTACAATGCAAGCATTCTACCATCAAGCCACACTCCCAAACCTTTGTTTTGTATTTTTGAAACAGGATCTCCCAATGCGGCACAGGCTGACTGGAAATCCTGATTCTATCTGCCTCTGCCTCCCGAGTGCTTGGATTATAGTGTGCACCACCAAGCCTGGCCTCCTATCTGTTTTTTCGATGAAGTATCTATTGAAGTCATATCATACTTTCTTACTGGGATGTTGGTCCCATTATTGAATCACATATACTCTTTATATATGCAAGCACAAGGCACTGATTGGCTGTATGATTTTCAGTTACCATCTGCAGGCTGGGGCTTGTTCAGTTTTCTGCAGTCCCTGGTATAGAAACCAGAATTGCACATTGGGTAAGTAAGCACTCCACTGCTGAGCTGCACCCTAGACTCTCACTTTGAAAGAAAACCACTTATTGAACACTCTGACCAAAGCAACTTGGGGAGGAAAGGGTTTATCTCACTTTACACTTCCAGGTCCCAGTCTGTCACTGAGGGAAGTCAGGGCAGGAACCTGAAGGCAGGAACCACAGAGGATGCTGTTTGCTGGGTCATTCACTGGCTTGCACTCTCTTTTTTTTAAACAGGCCAGGACCACCTGCTTAGGGATAGTTTTCCACAGTGTGCTGCAACCTTCCCCCCCAATTAATCATCAATCAGGACAGTCCTTCATGACATGCGCAAAGGTCAATCTGACCTGGGAAATCCCTCAATGGAGTCTCTTCTCAGATGATTCTTGGCCACGTCAGGCGGACAATTCAAGCTAACCAGGCCGACCTCTCTCATTTCTGTTACTGCCTGAACTCCAGGCTGTCTGGCCCGTGAGCTTCTGGCTGATTCTCCTAACTCAGCCTCCCATCTTCCCATAGGAGTGCTGAGATCACAGATGTGTGCTCCCACCTCCAGTTCTGGTGGGTTCTAGGCACCGAACTCAGGTTGTCAGGCTTGTGTGGCCAGCACTGTACCCGCTCAGCCATCTCCCCAGCCCACCCCTCACTTTGGTCATTGTCCTTTGAAGAGCAGGGGTCCCTGAGACACTCAGGAACCTGGCTGTGCTCATCCACCTGGCATTCTACCACGGCTGGTAATGTCCTCTGCACTAAGAAGTCGTGTTTCTTCCCAGCTCAGTTCCCACAACCCCTGGAGCCTCAAGGCTGTGAGGTGCAATAGCTGACCAGAGCATCCAAACAGTCCAGCCTCAACATGGGCTGAGTCCTCTGTTTCAAATGCTGGGGACGAGGGGCTGGAGAGATGGCTCAGTGGTTAAGAGCACTCACTAGTTGCTCTTACAGAGGACCTGAGTTCCATTCCTAGACCCACATGACGGCGGACAACCATCTGTAATTCCAATTCCAGGGGATCTGACACCCTCTTCTGGCCTCCATGGGCATTGTACAACATGAGTGTACTCAAATACATGTAGGCAAAACACTCACACACATAAAAATAAATTTTAAAAAGTATATCAATGCTAGGGACCACAACTATTTGGGGTTTCTTTTTCCACTTTTTTTGGTCTTTTTGAGACACGGTCTCCCTGTAGCCCCAGCTGGCCTGGAACTCACTATGCAGACCAGGCTGGCCTTGAATTCACAGAGATCTGCCTGCCTCTGCCTCCCTAGTGCTGGGATTAAAGGGATGCGCCACCATGTCCAGCTTTAATTTTTTTAAATTAACTTATTTTTACTTTATGAGTGTTATGCCTGCATGTACATAAGTGCGCCTGTGGTGCCCTTGGAAGACAGAAGAAGGCATCTGACCCCTGGAACCAGAGTTATAAACGGTTGTTAGCCACCATGTAGGTGTTGGGATTTGAACCCTGGTCTTCTGTAAGAATAGCCAGTGCTCTTAACTGCTAAGCTATCTCTCCAGCTCCCTTTTATTTTTATTTTTAATTGTGTGTATGTGTGTATCTGTGTGTGCTTTGTGCATGTGAGTGCAGTTGTCCAAGGAGGCCAGAAGAGGGAGTCAGATTCCCAGGGGCTGGAGTTACAAGTAGTTGTGAGTAAGCTGATGTGGATGGCTGGAATTCAAACTCGGATCCTTTGCAAAAGCAGCAAGTGCTCTTAACCACTGACCCATCTCTCCTGCCCCTCTTTTTGCAGTTACTAGAATACCTGCACACATGTGATGAGATGTCTCAGGGATAGCATCCAGCTACAAACATGCAATTCATACCTTCCACACACAGCATATAACCAAAAAGTCTTTTGGGGGAAGCATGTGCATGTATGTTCACATATGTGTGGGCATAACGTGTGCATATCCATGTGAAGTTCTGAAGTTGATATTAGGTGTGTTCCTTGAACAGTCTTAGACATGGAGGCAGGGTCTCTCGCTAAACCTGATGATCACCAATTCAGCTAGTCTTGCTAAGGCAGCTTGCTCTGGGGACCCCATCTCTGCCTCCTGAACACTGGGATGACAACTGGCTGCCATACCTTGGCTGGGCCATTTTAGAAATCTAAGTCCAGCCTTCACTGTAGCGCTTTACCCACTGAGCCATCTACCCAGCCCCCCAGAAGTCCTTTACATGGTTTTGGGTATATCCTGTCACACAGACATGGCACCTCTGGCTCACACTGGTGTCTGGTGGGCTTGAGAACTTGGAACATTTTGGATTTGGGGTACTTGGATTACGGCTACTCAAGCTGTTAGATCAGGTCAGTGCTTCCTGGGGATCTGTGTTTCCCCAGTATCATCTCTGGTGGTCTCAGGAACTCCTGCCTCACTGGGGGGAGGGGGGGTGGTCTGTGGCTCCCAGTGACAGAGGTAGCCCAGACCCCTACAGGACCCCACAGAAGGGAAGGTGGGCTCCCTCCATTTCCACCAGGGCTGGCACGGCAGCTGGAGAACCTGCAGTCCCCCAAACCTGAGCCTATCTTTTCAATACGGGAAACAGCAGGTGCATGAGGTACAGCATTAAGGGATGGCTTGAGTCTGCATCGATGGCCTGATGGATGCCGGGCCTCTATAGCACTGTACTACTGTGGGGGGAACTCCCAGTGCATGGCAGCTTTCTAAGGGCACCATCTGGATTTTTCTTCTTCTTTTTTTGTCTTTTTGAGACAGGGTCTCCCTGTAGCCCCAGCTGACCTGAACTCACTATGTAGACCAGGCTGGCCTTGAACTCACAGAGATCTGCCTGCCTCTGCCTCCCAGTGCTGGAACTAGAGGTGTGCACCACCACGCCTAGTTGACTCTTCATTCCTGGTCTACATAGTGAGCTCCAGGGCAGCTGGGGCTACAGGAAGACCCTGTCTCAAAAAGACCAAAAAAAAAAAGAAAAAAAAAACTTTTAATTTTTTTCCAGGCACAGTCTTGCTATGAAGGCCAGGCTGACCCAGGCCTCGTGATCCTGCTGCTTCTGCCTCTGCCTCTAGAGTGGTTGGATCACCGATGAGCATCACCATATCTGACACAAATAATTGTTTCCATCTCTTCACTCAACCAGAAGCTGTTCAACTCTGGAACCTGTCCTTACTTCATCTTCCTGGGGAGAAAGGCTGCACCTGACTTCTGGGATTCCTGTCCTTGTGTACAGGGCTAGGTAGACCCTGCCCAAGCAGAAGGTAGGCCAGGGTCTGTGTGTGGAACAGGCTGCTAGTGCACAGACAAGAGTATCTCCCTTTCCCCAGTTCTTGTTTTTGTTTGTTTTTAATTAATTAAATTTGAGTTGGGGCATGTCCCATAGCTCCTGGGTAGAGGTCAGAGGGCAACTTTCAGGAGCTGGTTCTCCCCTTCCACCATGTAGGTCCTGGTGCTTAAACTCACTTCGTCAGGCTTGGCTGCAAGGACCATCTCATCAATCCTCCCCACTGTTTTAAAGGTCAGAGCCTAACAAGGGGTCCTGTCGGAGCCAAGACTCCCTCTGAACTAAATTCCTGCACATGGAGGAAGCTGAGACCTCAGGACTGGGGAACTAGGGCCAGGCTTGGACGGCCCCTGACCCTTGGTAGGGATCAGCAACAGAAATGTCATGTGCCAAAGTAGATAAAAGCATAACCGGGTCCAGTCTGTTCCCTCTGAGGCTGCTGCGGCCCATAGGGCAGGAAGCCAGGACACAGCACGGCTGCTGGTCAGAGTGGGAAAGCCTTTCTTGAGGTAAAGACCAGTGCTTCGGCAGGGCAGGGCCGTGGGTCACAAGGCTTGTGAGATCGTGGGGAGCCTCAGGAAAAGCTGATCTGGGTGATCTGGCTACCCAAGGCTGCTGGCCCTGAACCTGATGTGAGTCTATGGTAGGTCAGCCAGGCTGGACTCATCAGCTGAGGGCCGGCTAGCCTAGGGTACCCAGTCCACGAATGATAGCAGAAATGCCACCGGGACCCTGGACTGTGACCTGACATGTCTTTCCTCCCCGAGCTTCATGTTTGGTGGTTTTAGTTACCCACAGTAGCTAAGGTTTGAAAATATGACATGGAAAATTCTAGACATAAAGAACTTGCAAGTATTGTGTGTCATTATAGTACTGTGATAAAAGCTCACATCACTTTACTATTCCTTCTGGATCATGGATCTCTACAACATGTATGCTATCGTCCTGTGAGCAATTCCGTAGTCATCTTGGTTATCAATTCACATCACTGAATTGCAGTGTTAGTTTCAAAGAACCCTGATTTTACCCTAATAATGGCCCCAGGGCCCAAAGAAGTGAGTCAAACTCTCACTGTAAGCTGTAGGGAAGAAGGGTCTATCCAGCCTGCGTTCAGAGGTCTCAGTCCATTGTAGTGGAGAAAGCATGGCAGAACTGTGACAGGATGGGGCATGACAAGATCCAACCCCCATAGACACACTTCCTCTCATAGGTCCCACCTTCCACAGGCCAACCCCTTCCCCACGGAAGCATTCACAAACTCAGGCACCATGGCTGGATCCTTAGGGGTCGCCATCATACATGCACCCAGGTGTGCAAAGCATGCTCGCCACAGGAGAGTCAACTACAACTTCCATGCCTCCCAAGGCTGTGTACAGCAAGTGTGGTCTCTAGACAGCACTGAGCCTGGGTGATGGAACCTTCAGGAGGTAGGGCCTAGCAAGAGGGTTTTAGGTCACTGGGGGAGGGCACCCTAAGGGGACAGTGGGGCCTTGGCCCCTTCTTCTTCCTCTTTTGTGGCTCATGATGTCACTGGTTTCTGCTCTTGCCAAGGTGGGCTTCTAATGGGTCAGGGACCAGACTCTCTCAAACCAAGGGCACAAACAAGCCTTCCATCTGCCAGCTACCACAGGGGGCGCCATCACTGTGGGACGCTGACCAGCAGGAGTGTTGGTACACTATGGTGCATGCACCTTAGACCTCCACTACAACTAACAGGGTGACTGGATTTGAAAACCGTCTTTGTGGTAACTAAAGGCCAGAAGATCATGCTGGATGACCTGGGTGGCTCAAAACTCAGTGTCCCTAAAGGACCTAGGCTGAAGGGACACCAAGACACCTAAGCCCTGTGAGCAAAGTCAGAGGTTGGAGTGATGGGACCACAAGCCAGGACCACCTGGGGCACCAGAGACTGCAAGAGTCCAGAAAAGGTCCCCTAGGACTTGAGGAAGGAGAGCAGCTGTGCCAACACAACATTGCACTATGGCCTCCAGGTCTGTGGTACAATCAACCTTTCGTATTTTTCTCTTTCAAAAATATATTACATTTATTTATTTGGTAGGGGTGGGAGTTGGTTTTCTCCCTCCACCATGTGGGTCCCCCTGGGGATTGAACTCAGGTCATCGGGCTTGGCAGCAGATGCCTATCCTATCACTGAGCCTTTCTGCCAGAGACCTTTTCTCTTGTCTTTGGCAAGACTGAGGATTAGGTAGGGGAACTGAACAGGCGTGGCAAGGCTCTGTTGCTGAGCTCCACCCTCAACCCTCAGCTTTTTGGGACTCACTGTATAAGCCAGGCCAATCTGGAACTCATGATCTCCTGCCTCTGTCTCCCCAGTGATGGGATGACAGGCCTGTGCCACTGTGCCTAGCAGTCTTTCTGTGGTTGGCTGTTTTCAAGGAGTCTGTCTTTGAGGCTCATCTATGTTGCTGTGACATGTGTCTGCGTGTGTAATTATGTTTTAGAGGGTCTCATTTAGTCCAGGCTGATCTTTAACTTCTGATCTTTCCTCCTTAGTCTCCTGAGTGCTGAGATCACAGGCATGCACTGCCACACCTGGCTGTGAGGTGTGTTTAAATACACACACACACACACACACACACACACACACACACACACAAAAAGAAGCCAGGTCTAGGAGACAGAAGGCTGGGTGTGGTGCCTGTGACCCTTCAGGATGTAGGCACCTAGTTCAAGGGGCAGAGAACACCACCATGGCTGAACCCTAGAGGTCATGTGGGGGCCGAGGCCATGGGACACGTGCAGGTCACAAGGGGCCAGAGTCAGAGCAGCAGAACAGAAGCTGCCAGAGGCCGAAGAGCCCAATAGACCTCCTTCCATGGCATGTAAGCTGTCAATGGAGACAACTGTTTACCACCTTGACAGTCAGAAGAGTCTAAGCTCCAGAACTGTGGCCAAACTCATTAATCCACAAAGCCTCAAGCCATCTGGGGTGCATGCCTGTGAGTGACCAGGCTGCAGGCCCAGAAGAATGCTACCTCCACCTGGCCTTATACCCACATATCTGCCTACCAATGATCCACTGCCCAGCTAGTCACTCATCCACCCCTCCACCCGCCCGCCCACCTATCCATCCATCCTTCCAGCCATTCCCCCCATCCTCATCCACCCAGACATGCATCTGTCTACCCATTCAACCAAATTTATCCACCCCATGCGTCCAAGCATCCATTTTCCCTCTACACAAAATATATGCACACATCTACCCACCACCCATGAATGTCTCTGTCTCCCCGTCAATGTACCCATCCAGCTTGGCTCAGGCCACACACACCCATGTCAGTGCTTTCACAGACCATTACCTCACTCTGCTGCCCACCACTGTCTCACTTTCTGGGTAAGGAGCTCGTGTCTGGAAGACACAAGGGTACACATCCACTCTGTCTGTGATGCCTCAACTCCTCACAAAGTACAAATCTACCCAACAGGCTGAGTTAGCTGTGCCTGTTCTGGGTCAAGTCACGATAGCAGAAACTTCGTCAGCCCACCGCACAGAACTTCGTCGTAAGCCCTCCTCAGCCCACTCAGATGGATGTGCACCTCAGTGGCAGTGCACTGATTAAGCTGTGTGGGGCCCCAGCTTGAGAAGGGAGCACTCCGCTGTCATGCAGACACCCTGGCCTGGTGACTCACCCCCGCACGATGCCACTCTCCAGGTAGTTGACTTGGATGAACTTCCCGAAGCGGCTGGAGTTGTTGTTGTGGGCCGTTTTGGCATTCCCAAAAGCCTGCAGGAAACAAAGACAGGGTTTCAGAACCTGGACTTGGGTTTTCCACGGGCCTCTGCCTTGGCCCAGAACGCTCTATGGGCACTGCATTCCTGTCCCAAGAGCCAGCCCTGAGTGAGTCACTCAGAGGCTCAGATAGGAAGCAAGACACAGACCAGGTGAGATGGCTCAGTGGGGAAAGGCAAGAACCAACTCCCAAGAGTTGTTCCTTGACTCTTCCACACATGCTTGGTGGCAGATGCAGACACACACACACACACACACACACACACACAAAATGTGTAGTAATAAACAAGCAGTAAAGTAAGACACTGGAGTACAGCCAAGGTGTGTCTCCATGTGTTTTCCCTGTGTACACAGTGGCCATGTGGGCAACATGTTCAGTGTTTAAGAGTTTGGCAATACCAATGCCACTTCCTTGGCTGGCATGTGGCACTGTGCAGGCCTATAGCGCACCAGGCACTAGGTTCCATCCCTAGCACCCTAAACCAAACCAAAATAAAAAAAGCATAAAAGCCAGTGTTCAGATTCCGTTTTTTAAAAAAATTACTTAACATTGCCGGGTATGAAGGCGTACGCCTGTAGTCCCAGCACTTGGGAGGCAGAGGCAGGCGGATCTCCCTGTGTTCAAGGCCAGCCTGGTCTACATAGTGAGTTCCAGGACAGCTGGGGCTACAGGGAGACCCTGTCTCAAAAAGACAAAAAAAAAAAAGTGTTTAATTGGTATACGTGTGTGCACACACACAAAGGTCAGAGTTGGGGGAAGTGACTCTCCCCCTCTACTGTATGAGTTCTGGGGACCTGAACTCAGGTTGTCACACTGGGTGGGCAAGTGCCTTCACCCTCTGGATCATTTCGCTGTCCCCAGAATCTTTTCTCCCTCAGGCACAGGAAAGCTTATGGGTTGTTCTGACACCTCCACTATAACCAACACCCAGGGACTGGGGACGCCCCATTCCCACACAAACCCACCTCTCCACAGGGAGGGGTAGGCTGGGGCCATGGGGCAGAAAAGATGCTGCTGCTCAGACTGGTGGGAGTAGGGAGCACGGCTCCAGCTTCAGGAAGAGGACGGTTATGGCAAGCAAGGTAGAGGCAGTGGTGCCTGGAAATGAGGGGGAAAGAAACCAGGTAGTCCTAGAGACCTGGCTCTCAGGTGTCCAAGTCTTTGTTATGGGATGCAAAACGATGCTATTCTGGGGTCACACGCAGAAAGGGAAGTTGGGAAGTGGAGAACAATGAATTAGGCTGACAGCAGTGAGCTCAGGAGGCAGAGCTGGGGTACGGGTAAAAGGGGTGGGCTGCAAGGAAGCAGTGCCAGAGCCTGGATCTAGGTCCCCAGTGCAGAGAAGGGGGCTGCAGGCAGAGAGGGCTGGGGAGGTGGCTCACCACACAGGAGAAGTAACCTGGAGATCCATTCACAGTGGATGGGACTGTAAACTTCTGCTATCTGTTTTAGATAACACCTTACTACACAGACTAATGAGCTGGAACTGGTGGTCCTGCTGCCTGGGTCACTCCAGTGCTGGGCCACCACACCAGAAGGGGTATATTTTCACTTTTCTTTTCTTTTTTCTTTTTTTTTTTTTTTCAGGTTCTCACGCAAGCCAGGTAGCCCCTCACTGGTGGAATTCTAGGCAGGGTTCTAGCTCCAAGCCACATCCTGTCTCAAAAAACATATAAACACTGTCCACGCAGCAAGACACAGCGCAAATATTTCTTCTATGAACCAAGAAGTGGACCTTGATGATACTAGATGTGCCTCGCCTTGACTCTGGCCTTCCCGGTCTGAGGACCTGTGAGAATTTGCATCTGAAGTTTCAATGCCCAAGCTGTGGTGTTTTGTCTACCTGTGGTATGGCTTCATGGTACCCCAAAAGCTGATGTTGAAATTTAATTCCTACTGTGAGGAATTATGGGAAACCTGGGGGAAGGCTGGGAAGTGATGAGTGTGGGTTCTGTGATGGCATTAGTGCTTTCTAAGAAGAGAGAGGGGACTGAGTGAGAGGGCTCAGTGGGTGCGGTGCTTGCTATACAACCACGAGGCCTTGAGTTTGGGTTCCTAGCACCTATGTAAAACCTAGGGCATGTCTATACACATCTGTAATCCCAGCCCTGGGATGCACTGACAGGAGAATTCTAGAGGCTCCCTGGCCAGCCAGCCTAGCCAAACTGTAGAACTCCAGGTTCCATGAGAGAAAATACAGGCTGGAGAGTGACTGAGGCAGATAGATGATATCGACCTCTGGCCTCCACACATGGTTGTATGCACACAGACACACAGACACAGATGGCTGCTTGCTGTCTTCCCATGATGCCTCTACCATGACCTGATGCAGCAAGAAGACTCTTACTAGGTGTGGCCCCTTGAGCTTGGACTCCAGAACCTTGGTTGAATAAACCATTCAGGGGTGGGTGGGTGCGTACGTGTGTGTGCTGCACGTGCACATGTGCAGAGGCCAGAGGAGGACGTGGGTGTCCTGCTCTATCACTCTTTACTTTATTCCCTTGTGACACAGTCCCTCACTTAACCTGGAGCTATGCTGGCAGCCAGTAAGCCCCAGCCACCTGCCTGTCTCTGCCCCCCCAGTGTTGGCATCCCAGGTGCTCAACCACATCTGGCTTTTCAGTTGTGTCTTGGGGATCTGAACTCAGGTCCTCATGCTTGCACACCAAGTGTTCTTACCCACTGAGCCACTTTCCCAAAGTCTATTTTTTGAGACAGAGCCTCACTCTGTAACCCCGGCTGGCCTAGAACTATAAGTCAATCTCCTGCCTTATCCTCCCAAGTGGCAGAACGACAGGCTTGCACCACCCCTGGATCTAGATCATAACCTTTCTTCTTTATAAATTCTTTGGCCTATAGCATTCCGTTATAGCAACAGAAGATAGGCTGAGACAATGGTGACAGGGGCAGTCTGAAGGAAACTACACAAGACAGCCTGTGAAGGTGGAGGTCCAGATGCTTCTTTGGAGAGCTCAGACCTTTGGACAGAACAGCCAAGATGGAGGCTTCATGGGAATAACCAGGGGTCACAGAGTATGCAGTAAAACCTGCACCAAGTAAGAAAGCAAGAGGGACACC